CTCTAGTTGCTTTAGGTGTAGAGTTAGGTTATTTATTTGACTTTTTTCTTGTTTCTTGAGGTAGGCCTGTAATGCTATGAATCTTCCCCTTAGCACTGCTTTTACAGTGTCCCATAGGTTTTGGGTTGTTGTGTTTTCATTTTCATTCATTTCTATGCATGTTTTGATTTCTTTTTTGATTTCTTCTATGATTTGTTGGTTATTCAGAAGCGTGTTGTTTAGCCTCCATGTCAGATCCTTTTAACCTACCCTACATTTCTTATCTTCTCACTCGTATTTTTATTATCTTTATTTTGCTGTGAAGAATTTCAGTTAATTTCCTTTGTATAGTGTCTTCCAGTTCACTCTTCTCTCTTTAAATTGTCTCTGGCATCTGGCATTTATTTTATCTGTATTTTAAAACTCCAGTGATTCTTAATATTTCATTTAGCATTTCTGAGTTTTAGAATATGTACACTGTTTGTTTCACTTTTGCCTGTTTTTGTAGTATCATGTCTTGTTATTAACAGATTTATTCTTTATTTTATTTAATGTATTTTTATATAAGAGTGCAAAATCTTATTAAAAAATTTTTTTTGTAATTGCTCCATTATTCTCATTTGGTAGGGAAGGAAAGGGAGTTAATAGCCTATTGCTATTAGAAGTCTACTTTCAGCCCACTGTCATTAGTTTGTAGGTAATTTTTTCCCCAGTAATTTCCCCAGTAATTTCTCAAATTACTGTTTTGTATTGTTCTGTATTTGTAAGTTTTGTATTGTTACTAGAGGATAACAAGACATCTCTCAGCATTAGTTTTCTCATATGTTGGGGACATTTGTTTGCTGGATTCCCTTGAGTTGGTATTTTCTCTTTACTAACTTCCTCTGTGCTAACTTTCCCCTGAATAGAGATTTTTATGGTCTCCCTCATTGGGTAGCCTAGAGGTCTCCTACTCACCGCTAGGTCTTACACTAATGACCTAGAGTCTTGTGTTCTATTGAGATAGTGAGGATGTTATAAATTCAATCTATTTTGTATGTACTCAAGACCCAGCCACCCATTCAGCAGCTTGTTAAATGGTCTCATGGGACTCCACATATAGTTGCGTCCAGGGATAAGGTTTGTTATAACCGAAGGATCCATGATAGGGTCAGTGCAGGACACAGACATGGGAGAAGGCTGGGGAAAAGCCCACACAGGCTTCCTTGTACCCTCTCTTTTGTGAAGAGACCTACCTCTAACATGTTTCTTTCTCTAACAGTAAAAAAATGCAGACAGATGTTGTGATATTTCTGTCCAGGGATGCGCGTTAGAGACTCGGTGCCATATTTGTCTCCTACGGCTGGCATCCGTTACCACAACTTGATGGCTTAACAGAGCAGAAATGTATGCTGTCACAGTTATGAAGGTCAGAAATCTGAAATCAAGGTGTTGGCCGGGTTAGACCCTCATGAGGCTCTGAGAAGCCATCCTGTGCCCTCTTCTAGCTTCTGACGGCCGCCAGCAAATGTCCGTGTTTCTCAGCTTGATGATATATCACTCCAGTCTCTTATCTCCACCTTTGTGTGGGCTTCTTCACTCTCTTTGTTTCAAATATCTTTCTGCCCTTCTCTTACAATACCAGCTGCCACTGGGCTTACCTTAAATCGAGGATGACTTCATCCTAGGTATTTAGCTTAGTTCCATCTGCAAAGACCCCTTTTCCAAATAAATCATATTTACAAGTTCCAGGAATTAGGACTTGGACATGAATCTTTGGGGAGTGGCCATTTAATCTGGTGTAATGCCCAGGGTTTTTTGGAGGCTGGTCATAGAGTCAACTTCTGTCCAACATGCACGCAAATTTCAGACTCCCAGAAGAAAAGTAGGGGTTCAGTATAAATTGCACTGTTTGTATGAACAGTCTAGGCACAGTGAGACTTCCTTATCAGTAAGGGAACTATTTTGAATGCCAAGTTACCAGGGGCCAGCTCAGGGCCTACCTTGCAAGCAGACTCTTCAAGAGATACAGGTATCTTTTGCTTTTTGAAAGTTTGCCTGACACCACTTTGCTTTTTATAAAAGAATGATATTTGTACCTGTTTTTGCTAACCAGAAGAAATCTGAAGAGGTCTTTCACTTTTACCAAAAAGAGGCAAAAAGCAAAAATAGCATTCAGCATTTGCTTTGCTGTGAGCCAGTAGGAAGGCAAAGTGTACCATAAGCAGTGAAGCACCCAGTCAAGCTCTGTTCCTGGGACCTACACACAGAATCTCAGCATCAAGCGGCCATAGCTTTAAACTGTGTGACCATCTGTGCTTCATCTCAATTTATTCTGTGCTTCCGCCAGCAAGATGCGTCCTAAAATAATTGCTTCTTAGCTTTATGCCATTTGGCTTATGTAGGGTCTTATAGAAATGGCCTACTTTTGGATAGTGGGGGAAACCTGTGCCAACCTCAGTCCTGCCAAATTAGGTCTTTTCTGTACAGCCTACCCTCTTCGCCCTTATGCAAGGCATCTTACAGCAGTTACTGTCATTAGGACCTCAAGATGCGGGGACCAACCTGTGGTATTGACTTTAGTTACTCCCTAAAGTCCTAGATTTAGCCAGTTAAATCCCATTAGTCATAAAGATCTGTCTTAGAAGCTTGGTGGGCTTCTCTGTGGCTCAGCTGGTAAAGAATCCGCCTGCAATGTGGGAGACCTGGGTTCAATCCCTGGGTTGGGAAGATCCCCTGGAGAAGGGAAAGGCAACCCACTCCAGTATTCTGACCTGGAGAATTCCATGGACTCTATAGTCCATGGGGGTCGCAAAGAGTTGGACACGACTGAGTGACTTTCTTTTCACTTTTTTAGAAGCTTGATGGCTTCCTCAAGTGGTGTGCCTCATGTAGCTTGTAGTTTTTGGTAGGAACCACAAGTTAATAGGTGCAGTTAGTCTCTGTAACAACAGTATAGAGCCAATCAGCTCAATTTCAGATGGTCCCATCAGAGGACAAATCCCTCCTTGTCGGCATCTGTATATGGCTCAGGCGGGCCAGACAGCCTCCATGATGATTTTACAGTGGATAGCCCCTCTCAGAGGTGTTCTAAAGTCATAGCAGTTCCAGAGTCTGAGTCCTGTTCATTGAGTGGAGAGATCTGATCTGATTTCTGTTCAGAGCAGCTAGTACTAAGGTTACCAGAGCGCATTGTGGACAGTGTAAGATTCAGACACAAAGTCAGATCTAGGCAATTAGGATCTTGAATTCAAATTCAAGAGATGTCAGCAATGAATTTTCTTCTGCAGTTGCAAGCCCGAGACACCACAGGGCCAGACAGCCGGTCTCAAAGCCCAAGTAACAAGGCTTTCCTAAGGGCTTTTTCCCTTGCCCAGAGTCCAGATCAGCCCACGCTAAACTATGCACTTAGGCAGGAAAAATAATCAGTCTTTAAGGGTCAGGCATTTGATTTCAACAGGAGCTTGTTAGCAAATTAAAAACTGCTTTTTAAAACTTAAAAAAAAAGTTTATTTCCATCTGGAGATTTTCTCTTTTTTACATTGTCTCCCTTTTGTAAAAAGAGGTGCCAGTAAGGAAAAATCATAACACAGGTCGCTGGTTACGGAGAGTTGCTGTTTTCAATATTCAGAGTTTGAATGTCAGTATTCCTACTCATGGCCAAAGCATCAGAGAGTTGTACACAACTAATAATTTTTCTTTGCACATTCCCCTGATTATTATGATCTTTCTCTAGTATCTATGAAAATTATAAACATGTTCTAATCATATGTCAATGAAATAACCACAAGGGCACAAAGTCATTGAAAAAAATTTTTTTTAATCATTGCATGTTTTGCCCAAAGCCCCAGCAGTGAATTCAGCATTTGCAGGGTTAAAGTGACAGCTACAGAGAGACCTCAGCTGGAGTGAAAGGTGAGGGCTGGTCCCGGCTGGAGTGAAAGGTGAGGGCTGGTCCCGGCTGGAGTGAAAGGTGAGGGCTGGTCCCGGAGCTCAGCTGCGGAAAAGGCTCCCAGTGTGTCTCCCCCTTCCTCCCTGCTTTTTTTAACTTCTGCCTGAAGGAATGAACACCTTACCAGCTGTTTTTATCACCTCTGGTTCATTCAAAGCCCACCTTTGGGAACACTGATCCCTTTTCTCTCACACCAGGTGGAAAGCACATGAAGCACAGACTTCCCCAGGCCTCTCTCTCGTCTTCATTTCAGCTGGCAGGGCCAAAAGAAGCCAGGGGATCCCAGGAGGCAAGTTGTCTTCTCTTGCATCTATTTTCAAATTCCATAGGTAATGTTTACCTCTCACAGCAGAGAGCGATTCAGCTGCAGGTAACGATTCAGCTGCTCTTTTGTACTCTGAGAAACTCCACAGTCACCCAGGCACCAGCATTTCATCATCCTCAGCCCTGCTTTCTTTCCCCAAATAATACTGTAGCTGTATTTCAGTGAGTTGGAGTTGTTCTAGTGAATCCCGTGCTTTGTGGGATCCTTGAGGCCACACACGTCTGGGGCTACTTTAGGAGGAATCATGCAACTCAGCACATAGGTGGATTCATTACTAAGGTCCATTACAGTGGAAGAATGTGTGACAGGATCACTAAGGGAAAAAGACACAGATTCTGGAGAAAGCTATGCACAGGCTTCCTTCCACTCTTTCCTTCCCCTGAGGAGGCGTACCATTCTTTTTTTTTTTCCAGAAGCAAAAAATGTGGAATATGTGTAGAGTATTTTCTGCCCAGGATTGTCTATTAGAGAATTGGATTTCTGGACTTTATTAGAAGCTGATTACGGAGGCATCTTCTGCTTAGCATGTACCAAAGTTCCGGACTCCCAGAAGGAAAGCAGATGTTAACGATAAATCACGTTGTTTGTACAGACAGTTTAGGTACAGGGAACCTGCCGTATCAGGGAATGCTTTGGGTGCTACATCCTGAGAAGCTATCCAGGGCGTACCTTGCAAGGAGGCCTTCTAAAGCAGGCAGCCTCAGACCTGCTGTGTTAACGCCTTTCTTCACACAGCAGCCCCTGAGGCAGGAGGCGGGTTGGCCCAGACCACGACTTGAGACTATGTCTGCCTCATCTTCCCCAACCCGCCTTGGCCATGCATCTTTGCTCCCTAGAACCCAGCCCAACTCAGCAGAGTATGACTCAGGGAAACCTCTTCAGTCTCTTTTCACGACAAGGGAGGCCCCACCACAGCTGTGGATTTCAGGCAGAGAAACTAGGGTAGGCCCCCTCTGAGGGTGGAGGAGAGGAGCTTTCATGCAGACTCTGGTCAGCTTCTGACAGACCTCAGGCCCAGAGCCTAGCACGTCTGTAGCTTCAGCGCGCTTGGCTGCTTTGTGTTCTAGTTTACTTTTTTCTCTACAAAGATATGACTGCATGTTTTAGATTTTTTTTTTAAGTGTCATCTGTCATTGCTACCTGTTTGAAGCAAAGCGTGGTGGAGAGGGGAGACTTAGACTGTAAGTTTACAATGTCATCTTAGCCAGAAGATGTTCTTTTACTTTTTAATACATTATTGCGGGTTTCTCTACTAAGATATGGGACTGAACCCATGGGGCCTACGCTTAGTTGCGTGGTAACTTTGGTGATACAGTGCTTTCGAAAGAATTGCCTTTCACCTAGGTTTCTGGCCTACTGTCTTTGTGTCTCTTGACTCTTCCTTTAGGATAAATTATTTCCCATGGGGTTATTAGTGGGCCTGCCTTATAGTGTCTGTTTTGAGGGAGAACCTTAGGTGCTTAAGATTCCCGTCCTGCTCATGGCTTTTGGTCAAAGATATGACTGAACATGCAACAACAGAGTTTGGGCCGTCTTACCATTTCTCAAAAGTCATTCTACTCATTGTAGGGAGGGACAAATAGCTAATCTCAAAGTCAACCGTTGATTCATTTTCTCTTCTGTTAACTTAAATGATTCTCATTACATTTTTAACATCAGCTTTTTATTACTCAGCATCGTTTTCTCCAGTGTCCTTTTGAGACATAATCTCTATAACGTAAGGTATCTTGGTAGTATAATAAATCGAGATGTGTGCACGTTTGACTACGGAAGTCAGAGGAGATTTTTGGAGACTTGTCACTACTCTGGCCCGCCAAAGGGTGAGTGAAGAGATCTCAGCTCAGCCAGTGAGTCCTCTTCTCATAGGATGTTTGACTCGTGGATGGGTTGAGACAAGGACTGAAGAAAATGTTGGCTTACACCTGCAGCAGTCTTGGGTCAACCACGAAGCAGTTCTTGCCGCAGTGACCTCCTGTGCTGGTTTATGCTGCTCTTATAATATGGTGCTGAGGACCAGACATGTTGCTTCCGGTGAGATGTGACTGGTGTATCCTTCGTGACTTCTGCTACTGGCGATCCCATGATTCGAACACCACGTGTCTTGAAGGTAATATTTAATATTTAATGTAAATAAGGTTTAAAGTGATTAAATTGCTTCATGTTATTTTTATGAATCCAAATCTCCTTTTAATTTTTGTTTAAATAGGCCAATAGCACAGTGTACAGGAGCAGTTAATTTTTTTAAACCCCAATTTGGTTTCAGTTCAGTTGCTCAGTCATGTCCGACTCTTTGCAGCCCCATGAACCGCAGCACACCAGGCCTCCCTGTCCATCACAAACTCCCGTAGTTTACCCAAACTCATATCCATTGAGTTGGTGATGCCATCCAACCATCTCATCCTCTGTCATCCCCTTCTCCTCCTGCCTTCTATCTTTCCCAGCATCAGGGTCTTTTCAGAGTCAGCTCTTTGCATCAGGTGGCCAAAGTATTGGAGTTTCAGCTTCAACATCAGTCCTTCCAATGAACACCCAGGACTGATCTCCTTTAGGATGGACTGGTTGGATCTCCTTCCTGTCCAAGGGACTCTCAAGAGTCTTTTCTAACACCACAGTTCAAAAGCATCAATTCTTCTGCACTCAGCCCTCTTTATAGTCCAACTCTCACATCCATACATGACCACTGGAAAAACCATAGCCTTGACTAGACGGACCTTTGTTGACAAAGTAATGTTTCTGCTTTTCAATATGCTGTCTAGGTTGGTCATAACTTTCCTTCCAAGGAGTAAGTGTCTTTTAATTTCATGGCTGCAACCACCATCTGCAGTGATTTTGGAGCCCAGAAAAATAAAGTCAGCTGCTGTTTCCACTGTTTCCCCATCTATTTGCCATGAAGTGATGGGACCGGATGCCATGATCTTAGTTTTCTGAATGTTGAGCTTTAAGCCAACTTTTTCACTCTCCTCTTTCACTTTCATCAGAGGCTCTTTAGTTCTTCTTCACTTTCTGCCATAAGGGTGGTGTCATCTGCATGTCTGAGGTTATTGATATTTCTGCTGGCAATCTTGATTTCAGCTTGTGCTTCATCAGCCCAGTGTTTCTCATGATGTACTCTGCATATAAGTTGAATAAGCAGGGTGACAATATACAGCCTTGACATACTCCTTTCCCGATTTGGAACCAGTCTGTTGGTCCATGTCCAGTTCTAACTGTTGCTTCCTGACCTGCATACAGGTTTCTCAAGAGGCAGGTCAGGTGGTCTGGTATTCCCATCTCTTGAAGAATATTCCATAGTTTATTGTGATCTGCACTGAAAATTATATATGTGCTTTTACGTTTAGAAGCTTGTTTCATATTGACAAGGTAGTTTTGAACTTTGATTCTGTCACCCATCATCTCGGCCAGTTTTGTGTCATCTGAAATTTTGCCGAAGTTTGCCAGTCTTTGGTATCAAATTGATTTGAATTTGCTAGCTTGCTCACCAGTGGGTTTTACTATCTAGTATTCCTCAAGTGTTTTCCTTTAAAATACAGAAACATTATTGGTGATCTGTGATCCTATATTCTCCTTGTTTTTTTCTCAACATTTTAAAGATTTAGTTTTAAAATAAGTTGTTTCTATCAGTTTCCTTCTTTGTGCTTTCACCATAGCTACATTTATCTGCATTAGCATACCTCTGATTTTTTGGATGCACAGATAGTATAAAGTTCAAAATAGTACAGAGTTCAAAACTATGAAATATATTCTCAATAGCATTGCTCTGTGAAGGATACGATTAGAAAACACTATTTAAAAGTGAGTATGACTTATTCCCACACTCCAAAAGTGAGTATGACTTATTCCCACTCCCAATGTTTGTTAGTAGTTGGCTCTAAGAACTGGTTTTATCAAAAGCATGAGATAATAGAAATCACTCCTCTTGCCCTTCTGTAAGTGATCTGATATACTTTATCTTTATTTAGCTACATTGTAGATCCATACATTTTACATTTCTCAAATTTTCTCAAATCAGGTGAAATATGATATGGATGTGAGTAGTTTCGTATCAGGGGCCCCTTTGGGGTGGCAGCACCTGAGGAGTCGTCAGGGTTAGGGATGCTATGCAGGGTAGGGTAAGGTGACTTGGCTGGTAGAGCCCTGGGTACTAGGGCATCTCTACCTTGATTCCAGGGAACTGTGCATGGCAAGGAAGCAGCCATCTTTGGGCCTCAAGGAACAACTTGGCCAGTGTGAACGTCAACTATAACTAGAGATTGTTCCCTTTTCCTGTTTTCTGAGTAACACAAAATATCCTCAATTCCTCCCCTGGAAGTAGAGAAAAATCTCAGTACTGAGAATATGCCTTCAGTCTTGTGGTATGTGTGCCTGGGGTCTGAATCAAGTTGCTATAAAGGAAATAAAATGAGGTTTATTACACACATGAGTCTGTGAACTGTGATACATACCCAATGAACTCAGCATAAGCTTAGAGTACTGATTTACTAAAAAGGGGAGCAAGCAAATCTTATCGCAGGCTAGTGTAAGTTAGGTGGAGAGCCAGTATGTACTGTGTGCCAACTGTACGCCAGAGCTGATGGTACACATTTCACTTATTTCATTTGCAGAGGTCTTACCAGGTAAGCGTTACCCCCAAATTACAGACAGAGAAGCAGGTTGTATTAGAGTTCTCCAGTGAAACAGATATACATAGTCTGGTCTGGTCCACAGCCCTGAGAGCCAGTAGTATACATTTGGGTCTGGAGGCAAGAAAAAAGTGTCCCAGCTCAAGGTAGTCAGGCAGGCGGAATCCATGCTTTTACAGACTTTTTGTTCTGTTCACATCTTCAATTGATTGAATGAGGCCCACCGGCATTAGGGAGGGCAGTCTGCTTTAATTTGTCAAATGATCTGTTCATCTCATTCAGAAATATTCTCATAGACACACCCAGGATGATATTTGACCAAATGTCTGGGCACTTAATGTCCCAATCAAGTTGACGCATCACTCAGGATAAGAATGAAATATTTAGCGTGTAATTGCATATCAGCAAGTAGCAGAACAAGACTAAAACCCCAAATCTGGAGTACTCAAAGCTTCCTTGTGAAATTTGTGTATTGCTTGCTCAGTACTTTGTAATTACTTAGACTACTTTAGACTCAATAAGCAATTCACAGCCATTCTCTGATCTTCTCTCCTATCCCACCTCTCCAGATTAGAAACCCTGGACTCCTACTTATGGTTGAGAAAACCTGGGTTAGCTTCTTAGGGCTTCTTCTTGAGCCTTCTCCTGTGATACTCAGGCAGGCAGCCTACCACAGGTAATGCATTTTGTTTAACATTCAGGCTTCCCCTTTCATTGCTTTGTGACCCATATGAGGTACTTAGGACCAATTTTATAAATCTTTTGTGCCAAGCCTCCAAGGATGGGCTGCAACCCCAGGTCAGATGGTTTGAGCTAAACTGCAACCCATGTAGGAGCAGGAAAATGAAGTTTCTGTATTCTACTGTAAATAACTAATAAGGAGTGTCTCTTGGAGGAGCAGAAGGGGAGAGGATAGAGGAATGTTATCGCAGCAGCTTTTTCCTTTTATTCCAAAGTGAATGAGCTGCCACTTCCATGAGAACAATTTATATGATGCAGCCATTTAAATAATGCAGTTTTTTTTTTCTTTTTTCCCCTTGAAGAGTTTGAAGTTTCAGGTTGAAGTTCAAGTGACTGGTGGTAGGACATTCCTCTAGCCCCAACCTCACCTACACACACCTCTTTCAAGACCTTATGTGCTGATGCATTACCATTACAAACCCTTAGTATATCCAGGGAAAGGCATGATACACAGTTTTCACTGCACTATTTGACATCAGAAGAAAAGGAAACAAGGTCTTTTCGACAAGGCAGAATGTGTGCACATAATTGAGAAAACCTGAGAGCCGGATTTAAATGTTGTAGATTGGGTTGGCATAGTTGTCCTCTTTGGGGACCCAAGTTCTTCTCTTTGACCATCTAAGGCTCTGTCCAAACTTGCCTTTCAGACATAAGGAATTAACTTTTCCCTCCACATGGAATGGTCGCTTGACTCTCCCTATAATGACAGATGATTTTAAGAATCACACTAGATGCCGTGGTTATTACTGCTGTTGTTGCTGCCAGCCCCTAACCTTTCAACCACAGAAAAGTGTCTCTGTTGGCATTTGTGCCCCTAGCTTGCCAGTTGGTACTTTGGAAAGAAGAGAAATTTGTTTTTGGTCCTTTTTCTGGTAACACAACAATAAGCAGAAATGGCCTGATATGATCCTTTTTCTTACACTAAAATTATAAAGAGAAATCCTCTCTTTTCCTTAAAGTCTTTAAATATTATTTCAGCATTCTGCATTTAATAAGAAAATTTAGAATATGCAAATGAGCAGGAAAAAAATAAAATCACTCCTTTGCCCTCATGCAGAGGTAAGCTTTAAGTGTATTTTGGAGTATAGATCTTAACAATTTTTCCCATATATTAAATATATATATTTAATTATATATATTTACCATATATTAAATATATAAATATACACACAAACACATTACAAAAATTGAAACATTGCATGCATACTGTTTTAAAAACTGCTGTTTAGGGGCTAGCAGTTCAAGACAGTGATGTAGGACAGTCCTGAATTCATCTCCTTCAATGGACACAGCAACTCTACAGCTGATAAAGATCAATTCCTTCTGAAAAAGACCTAAACACTAGCTGAACAGCTCCTCCACGACAAAGATAAAACAGTCACATTGAGGTGAGCTGCTCAGGAAAGGTGGTGGCACAGTCTTGTCAAAAACCTGACCCGCAACTTGGCAACCTACAACAGGAAGAGAGATCACAACTAGGGAGCATCTCCCTGAGGAGTGAGGGTTCTGGGCCCTGCGTCAGGCCCCAACTCTTGGGACTTGCATTGAAGAAATGACCTCCCTCATGCCAAACGTCTGGCTTTGAAAACCAATAGGGCTTTACTGTTCAGGAGAACCACAGGTTGGTAGGGAATGGAGAGATTCCACAAAGGGCTCAACCACAGACTCACTTAACCCAGGACCAAGTGCAAAAGCAGCAATTTGAAAGGCGCCCAGACCATATGGGAAACTCATTTGCAAATCTTAA